ACGTTTAGTGTTTACAATCTAACGCGACACACGGTTTAAACAGTACAGGTCTAGTTATATCTAAATTAGAACTGTTCAAGGTAACCAGTCAGCAGCACCCTCCACACAAATCACCACTCTTAACCTAACAGCCGCATTAGCTGTTACAGTTATAAAACACCACAGCTAAAAATGCGAACCTTAGAACCCCGGACCGAAGACCAGCACGTTTGCTACTAGGTTATATCTGGCCTCGAACTTGGCCATCTATTGGTTGTTTCTCTTTTTGACCAAACACATACACAGAGAGGTCGATAAGACTAATAACAATAACTGGACAGCGTTCTTCTTGTTTATGTAACTTATTAATGACCTTCAAGATCTGTAATGTATCTAAAGAAAATGAATCAGATAACTTAAAAGAAAAATTTGGGAAAAAATATTTAAAAAAGCCCAATTAGTTTTTAGATGAGAAATTTGGTCAACGTTTAAAAGGCACAATAAAAATTGTATTTGACCGATGGCCACAATTTAAAGATATCACATGTTTCGGTAGCTTTACTCCATCATTATCAGAAATAAAAATTTACACGACAAGAGGGTAGTTTTTTAAGGAAAGGGTTTACTTTATTCTGATCTATGAGGGTGGTAAGAGTATTGTACGTAAGAACCGAATATTTATTCCTAAATTCAGTGGCATAGCCAGGTTTTTCCACCCAGGGGAGTGAGGGTAGAAAATTTTAAGGTGGGGCCATTAAATTAAAAAGCTAAAATTGATCTAAATTTGTAACAAAATGGTCCTTAAAACAAATCAATTCAAATGTAATAGTGTTTATAGAATTTGTATTTATTTTTATTAAATGATACAAAACGAGTTTATTATTTATAAAAGCTGAAAAATAATATGTAATCAATATGCCTATATTTTTCAGGGGGCCTGGCCCCCTTGGGCTCCCGTTGGCTACGCCTCTGCTAAAATTGTGCATTATCGCCATCCAACCCTTAATTGAATCCCCCCCACTCCCAGTGGCACAGCAGTATGTCTGCGGACTTACACCGCTAGAATCCGAGTTTCGATACCCGTGGTGGGCAGAGCACAGATAGCCCATTGTGTAGCTTTGTGCATAATTACAAACAAACAAACTTAATCGAATCTTCGGCGCAACTAATTGTTTCGTAAATATTTTTATGATGTCGACAGTCTTTGAACAACATCTCTTTCACAGTTGGACAATTATTTCTGTATTGTGAGCTATACATATATCGTACTGAAGAGCTATTCGTTTGATACAATCAATATCGTTTTGAGAAGTCTGTAATTTTATGATAAGAAACATCTAGTGACGCCTACAAATTACAAGAATGATTGCAATATACCCACACTTTGAAATGCTTAGAACCGACTGTTATAAGCGAAAGTCGAGTTTCTATAATTATCTATTAAACATATATAAATATAAGCACATTCGAATTAATATCAAAAGTTATTTTTTAAATTGGACAATCCTATCCCATTCGCTCCCAGAGTTAGAAAGAAATCACTTTTTTTTTTTCATTTAACATGAGCGTTTGTAAAAATAGTTTTGGTTTTGTTTTTCAGCTTGGATCTTAGGCTGGTTCATGTGCAAAGCAGTGTCATATTTGCAAGGAGTGTCGGTCAGTGCATCTGTCAACACACTGGTGGCTATTTCTTTGGAAAGGTGAGTTTGTTTTTTTTTCAAATTTTCTGTTTTTGTTCTTTAAAACAACAACAACAACAAAAAAAAACGTCGAAATTATTGAATAACTTCAGTCTGATTGCGTTTTTCTGGTTCGGGATACACCGACACGAGTTTTTGCTCTCGATCCACCACTCTGTGTAAACATGAACCACGCGTTATTGTAACTTCCCGCCATCATTGGTTTAATATAAACTTATTGTAGGATAAACAAGTAGAACAGCTGTGATTGTAACATTTATTCTACTGTAATTACAGCTGTTTCTCTTGTTGTGCTTGAAACTGGGACCAGGGCCCTTCTCTTTCTGTGCTTCTTGGTCTACTGAAATCCCCACACGACGCTACGCCCTCTATCTAATCACGAATTCCCCCAACTTCGTTTGCTCATTGATTTATGAATCTAACTTTTCCTCCATCGTTTTTGTTGTTAGACGCGCGCGTTGTTGCAAAACACAATAACGTGTCTGATAAACAAATATATTCACGTTTTGATAAACTGTGTCTTACGTTTCTTGTATTGGTAAAATGTGTGTCACATTTCGTGTCTTAGTAAGCAGTGTCACTTTTCGTGTCGTGATAAATCGTGTGTCACATTTCGTGTCTTAGTAAGCAGTGTCACTTTTCGTGTCGTGATAAATCGTGTGTCACATTTCGTGTGTTGATCTTAAGAACAGACAACTAGTTTCTATGTGCTTGGTAAGCAATGATTTACTAAATTTTTCTATGGACTATATTGTTTAAAAATTATCATTATTATAAATTTGTCATTGTTATCTTCGTGTACCACGGATTTAGGGCTAACATAAATCTGCTAAGCTGTTAACAGCAAGGGTGCCCATAAGTTGAAACATTGCATTCTCTTCGTGTTAGGATTTAGTTTTCTTATACATTGATTTATGACGTTATGCACTTCTTGCCAGTTTGTTTTGGCTTCATTAATTTATATATATATATATATAACATTTTAGTTCTGACCTATAAAGTTATTTTGCTTGCGATCGGAAATGATTAAGAACTATAAAAACCTAACTCGTTGTTATTTTTTTACATGTATGTATGTATGTTCCTAGAATGTCTAAAGGTCCCTTGTTGTGCGTGTTCCATGTATTTCTCTTTATATAAACTGCCGTATTATTTTGTGTATGAACCGCAAATCACGCATTAAACGTTTTATTTGATCTTCAAGCATGTGAAATTTAAACATAGTAGCCAAAATCCTGCCTTTAAACTCTGGGTTTAACTTAAACAGTTTTAACTTATGGTTTTAAACTTTATTTGTTTGGGGCTGTTCGTTGTTTTGTTTTTGTTTTGTTTTATAGCGCAGCGACACAATGGACTACCTACGCTACGTCCACCGCAGAGAATCGAACCCCAGGTTTTAGCATTGTAAGCCCGGAAACAACGGACAGGGGGACTTAAAATTTATTTGTTTGGGGCTGTTCGTTGGTTTTTATAGTGCAGAGCGACACAATGGACTACCTACGCTATGTCCACCGCGGGGAATCGAACCCCAGGTTTTAGCATGGTAAGCCCAGAAACTACCGACAGGGGGATTTAAAATTTATTTATCTGTTATTTCAATATATTGATTAATGATATCAGATTTTTAACAGTTCGATACAACACAATAAGACAGTTTTTCATATTTATCAAAATTTTAACGTGTTATCACTTTCTGATTTGGAAACAAAAATTAATGTTGATTTTGGAAAGACAGTTTTAAATTAGATTATTGATTGAATTTGAAGAAAGGATACTTGGAGTGACGTTTTTAAAGCTTTCAGAAATAACGTATTCATTCGAAATTCACTTATTTGCATAAACAGATAAGAGTACGTTAAGAAATTTAAATGATCTGTCATGAAACATGTAGATAAATATAGAAGAACACTGAGCAGTGTATTGTTTAAATTTTCAGCAGCGAAGATTTATAATAAAAACAAATAATTCACAAAAATGTGAAGGAGGCACACAAGCGAAACAGGGTTAGATCGTCTTATGATGCAATGAAGCCCGGCCTAAAGACGATGTTATTGACACTTACGTACGTGTGTGTGTGTGTTCAGCACCAAGCAGCTGGTTAATGAAATATACAGCAAAGAATCAAGAAAAGTAGAGATTATTTTTGTTCAGATGAGGGTGCGATAATTTTGAATAATACCTCTCTTTTATACGACATTTGAAAGTATGCTAGTACTTGACGTACCGGGTTATAGGTCCAAGGTTAGAACCATGCTATGTCGCTATACTTTCAGCCGTGGAGACGTCGTAATTGTGATAGTTAATCCCACTATTCGATCAAGAGTAGGCGCATATCTGGCAGTTGCTGCTGACTGGTTGCCATCCTTATGGTTTGCGTATATAAATTAAGGATAGTTATGATAATTATGCCTAAACCTCATGGGGGTATCTGTCCTAGCCGCTTACCCCCTCATGCTCCCGTGTCTAAAAATACCAATATGAAGAACAACATTTATCTAACATCATCATTGATGACTAACCTATCGGTGGATTTATACAAAAGAAGAGTATACACATTTTTCTTCTTCTCAAAACAGAAATACAAGATGCTAACAGATAAAGGGTCGTTGTTTAAGGTTTTAAATTTTGTAGAATCGTCCAGAATATCATGTATTTTATTAAAGTAGTCATTTTTTGTTCAGAATATCATGACATTGCCTTTATCAGGGCGTGTAACATGGAAAAAAAAATCCAAAGATACATAAGAGAACTAAAGAACAAAAGTATTATGTCAGAAATACAAGAGTTTTATGGATACGTTAAGTTAGCATCTGGCTGCTTTGTTGTAGGAAAGATCACAAGATTGTCTGAAGGAAAGTCTTTCATCACTAAAAATAGTCAACGTTAACTGAGGTACCGAGTTTTATTGGAGGTACACGTGTGACTAAAACACAGCCTGCCCTCCAGTGGCTCAGGGCCCCCGCCATGGCCAGGTGGTTAGGGCGCTCGACTCGCAGTCTGCGGGTTCGAATCCCCGTCACACCAAACATGCTCGCCCTTTCAGCCGTGGGGGCGTTATAATGTGATGGGCAATCCCATTATTCGTTGGTAAAAAGAGTAGGCCAAGAGTTGGCGGTGGGTGATGATGACTAGCTGCCTTCCCTCTAGTCTTACATTGCTAAATTGGTGACGGCTAGCGCAGATTGCCCTCGTGTAGCTTTGCGCGAAATAACAAACAAATAAGCAAGGCAGCCAGTTTTTTTTATGTGTATGTATACACGAGCATTGAAAACCGATTTTTAGCTTGCAGACTTATCACTGTGCCACTGGAGGGAAATATATATATAAAAAAGATCCTTGTTTTCTTTCAATCTTGTACTATTTTCAATAAACTAGTAGCATTAAAAAATGACCTCTCAGTCCACTGTTGTGTAAACCGCGGGTAATCTAACCCCGAATTTTTATCGTTGTAAATGCGTAAACTTATAGCCGTCCCACCAGGAGACGGTAAGTTAAGACCAATTTGTTAAATCTGTTACTGTTGTATGTGACGAGTGAATTATCAGATACAGTTCGTCAGTGTTAGGGTAATGATCAAATCGTTATTAATTGTATTGTATTTTGAATATGAGATAAGCAGCGAATTCTACAAAGAATATATAACAACACACTCTCTCACCCTCTATAGTTTGTTCAGTGGTATTGAGGAAATACACATATAAAGTCTGTGTTAGTTAAAAATAAAGATAAACCATTAGTGGGCCTGGAATGATCTGGTATTTACGGCACTCGATCCGCTATTTGCGAGTCGCGAGTTCGAATGTCATTACCGAGCATTCTCGCTCTTTCAGCAGTGGAAGCGTTATAATTTGACGGTTAATCCCACTTTTTATTGATATAAGAAGTAGTCCAAGGGCTGGCAGTGGGTGGTGTTGCTTAGCTGCCCTCACTTCTAATTTAGGGTCGGCTAATGCAGATAGCCCTCGAGTAGCTTTGCGGGAAACTGGTGGCCACCCAGTGGCACAGCGGTATGTTTGCGGACTTACAACTCTAGAAACCGAGTTTCGATACCCGTGGTGGGCAGACCACAGATAGCCTTTTGTTTAGCTTTGTGCTTAATTAGAAACAAACAAACAAAAACCCTGGTGTCAAAGAGGTACACGATGTAAAAATCACACGCAGTACCATGGTAACGTTTACTTGCCAAGAAGCGGACTGGTCGTGGCGTTTTGTTACCATGGAAACGTTTACTTGCCAAGAATCGGACTGGTCGTGGCGTTTTGTTACCATGGAAACGTTTACTTGCCAAGAAGCGGACTGGTCGTGGCGTTTTGTTATAGAGAACAAATCAATGTACGAATGAGAAAGAACTCGTTAGAGTCTGGCCAGAAAAAGATATCACATACGTGGAGTCAAACGTGATCTTGGTTATAATTACCATGAACACCGTGATTCAATGTCACAAACTACTTGACTCCCGTCTTGACTACTTTATATCGTGATAGAAATATGACGTTATCTTCCTCTTTTTTTCTTACACATAGGATATGTAACAACATTGACTATAGAACTAGTCTGATGTGTTAAATATCGCGTAACAGCCCCATATGGGGATAACGCAACTTCTCCGATATCACAACTGTGGCCACTAAGAGCGTTAAGTATTTTCTCTGTAAGATTTAGTCATACTTTTAAAACTATTTAGCTTTTTTTTTTATAAGTACTCAGATACGTGTGAAGTACGCGTAAAACAAAACAAAGGAACAAATGTGAAAGCAATGAAAGTTAGGCCTTTTGCCTTCTAACTTGTTATTGAATTTCAATCTAATATATTATATAGAAAAAAACCTAACAGTGTTGTCTATAACTGGCGCCGACGAAAAAATAAGATTATTGGTCTAAAAGTAAGAAAATCACTTGATGAAAAACACAAGATGTTTAGAAACTGAGAACTTTAGTAGGCTGCAACTTGAAGAAAGTAATCTTTTACTTTGCAATAAACCAAACAAACTTTACTTTACTTTTAAGCATGCTTTATTTTGAGACGTCAAAAGTTACACAATAAACCCTTGAAAATTTGATTTTGTTGAAACCACATTGAGAAAATGTTGGTCGTTATGGAAATATAGACATATTTGAAAATCCTTTTATTTCTGTATGCTCCTTTTTTTTTTTTTTTTGAGTCTGTGTCTGTCGTTACTCAGCACTTATGTTATATATAAAACATAACAAATCGATTTCACATATAGGTTGTTTTACCTTCGTGCTTTCCATAGTTTGTAGTCCTGCCGCTAGATGTCGTTTCAAATAATCTAATAATTGCTGGTATATTTGAATTAATTGTCATTAATAAAAAAAATTCCACAAAGAGCTAAAAGAGAGAGATTTATGTATATATATATATATATCTTTAACATTTTCAATGTATGGTTTTTAGAACTAAATGCTCTATGAAATGCAGTGATTAAATGGTCACGTTTTAGCAGTAACTATTCTGAAGATAAGTCACACATTCTCACTAATTATTTCCATCTGGTTGATTAGGTTTCTAGCCATCTGCTATCCAATGAAAGGGCAGATTACCACAAGAGTCGCCAGAAATGTCATTGTCTTAATCTGGACTTTTTCGCTGCTAATATCTTTACCCTGGGCTGTGCACTTTTCCCTTACCCCTCTCACTCCCGATCTTCCCGACATTGAGTTGTGTGTGGAAATGTGGCCTCACCCGTCATCGGAGCTGCTGTATTTCATCTTGGCCAACCTAGTGTTGTGTTATCTCTTTCCTCTTTGTCTAATTACGGCCTGCTACGTGGGAATCTGGGTAAAGGTGTGGAGAAGACATATTCCGGGCGAAACCAACGGAAACGCTCGAGTCAGCAGCGTTATCCAACGCTCCAAGCTGAAAGTGGTGAAGATGATGCTAATTGTTGTGATCATTTTTGTAATGTCATGGTTACCTCTTTACATAATTTTCACACGGATAAAGATCGGAGGAGACATCGAGCCAAATAGTCTAGAAGAAAATATCCTGGTGGTTATTGCTCCGATTGCCCAATGGCTGGGCTCTTCCAATAGCTGTATCAACCCAGTTTTATACGCATTTTTAAACAAGAAGTTTCGTAAAGGGTTTAAGGCCATCATAAAGAGTAAGAAATGCTGTGGAACTCTCCGCTATGAAACACCCTCCAGTATGGTTTTAACAACCCGGGCTGTCACGCTTAGGAGCACACAGAGGTTTAATGGAACACATTCTACTACTGCAGTGTAGTGGATTTGCATCCTCTCACGTAAGTGACCTATTAGTTCGAACGAACGTTAAGTATAGAAAGCCAAACCAAAACGGTGTAGATGTCCCGATATCTTATTTTGTCTGATTAATAAACGAATGGTTTTACGAATATACTATAGGTGGCTCCTGTGTAAAATAAAAAAAATGACTTTTTAAAAAAACACAAAAGTTAACTAGTAAACTGCTAGTGATACTGATAGTCTATCCACAGGCTTATCTTCCTCAAACTATAGTGATCTTATACATACATAATTTTAATAAAGGAATTGAATGTGTAGATTTAGTCATCTTATTTACCTCTGATCTAAAGTAAAATTAAGAAGAAAAACTTCATTTTTTCTATAATTAATACCATTTAAAAAGAAAAGATTTTAACTTAACGAACTTAACAAAAATGATTTACATTGTAATTTATGCTCATATTTAAAATATTTTATCCTTATAATTATGCTAAGATTAGAATGAATTATATAACTTACTACCTAGTATTAACTTTCAATACAGCTAGACAAGACACTCTGTTTCATAACATTGTGATATAATATGCTAATTAATTAACTTGCCTTGACTGGTAGCTTTAAATCAATATACCACCTGAGGACTGAGTAGTTGAGCGCATAATGTAAAGGGTGTTTGGAATACGTTTTCATTATTTACTATTTAGTTAGTGATACAACGTAGTTACAAACACACGTTTTCTGTTATTTCACTTGAAATGAATTTCAAAAATGATTAAAAAAACAAACTGTTGCTGCTCTTTGTTCGGTTATTTTCGTGAGTTCATCCTAATTCTCTGAAGCAGGAGTCCCGTTAAGCCCCAGGGGACTTACAAAAAAAAACTGTTTATTCAGCTAACTGAACTTTACCTTACAACTTATTTTGATAGAGAATATATAAATGTAATCTACAAAAAGTCTGATATTATTTAAAGAACACCCATTATTTGTTGCGTCATTTCACATTTTCTTCTGAAACGGAAAGCATATGGCAATGAATGTTTCGAACCTTTTAAACCCCTGCCGATATAGACCCAGTTTAATGTTAGATAAAATACTTGCAATCAGGAAAATCATCATAAAACACAATGTTGGAAAAATCATCATAAAACACAATGTTAGAAAAATCACCATAAAACACAATGTTAGAAAAATCACCATAAAACACAATGTTAGAAAAATTATCATAAAACACAATGTTGGAAAAGTCATCATAAAACACAATGTTAGAAAAATTATCATAAAACACAATGTTGGAAAAATTATCATAAAACACAATGTTGGAAAAATCATCATAAAACACAATGTTGGAAAAATCATCATAAAACACAATGTTGGAAAAATCACCATAAAACACAATGTTGGGAAAAACGTCATAAAACACAATGTTGGAAAAGTCATCATAAGACACAAAGTTGAAAAAGTCATCATAAGACACAAAGTTGAAAAAGTCATTATAAGACACAGAGTTGGAAAAATTATCATAAAACACAATGTTGGAAAAATCACCATAAAACACAATGTTAGAAAAATCACCATAAAACACAATGTTAGAAAAATTATCATAAAACACAATGTTGGAAAAATCATCATAAAACATAATGTTGGAAAAGTCATCATAAGACACAGAGTTGGAAAAATTATCATAAAACACAATGTTGGAAAAATCACCATAAAACACAATGTTGGAAAAATCACCATAAAACACAATGTTGGAAAAATCATCATAAAACACAATGTTAGAAA